CATCCAGCCTCACCTGCCTGCTGAAAAGGCCCAGGGGGCCCCGGGATCCGAGCAGCAGCACCTGCTCACCACGGCGCCCAGCTCCAGCAGCAGCTCCCTGGAGAGCTCGGCCAGCGCCGTGGACAGGAGGAGCCAGCCGCAGGCACCGGGCGGGGACAAGGCCAGTGGGCCCGGGGAGGCCCGGGCCAGCTCAGGTAAGAGGCGGGAGCCCACCTGGCTTCACCCTTCCTTTGCGATTCTTCCTGGTTTCTGTCCGATCCATCTCCTCCTGGCCTCCCGCAGGGTGAGGCCTGAGCTTCTAGCAGGGCCTTCGGAGCCCCGCACACTGGCCTTGGCTCGTGCTCCAGCCCTGCCTCCCTGCTGCCCTCAGGTGCAGCACTGAGCCAGGAGGTTCTTCCTGTTCTCTGAACCCCCAGTTCCTCTGAACCCCCAGTTCCCTCCCACCTTTGCCCATGTGGGCTCTTTCAGCAGGAGCACCCTTCCTTCTAGAGAACCCCAACTTGTCCTTTGAATCTAACATCCAGGCGGGGGTTTTTCTTGTATAATATATCTGATATATAATAGTGTTATATATTAATGTTATAGTATTATATTATATAATATCAGTTTTATGATTATATAACATTATTATATTAATATCAATTATATTTTATAGACAAGGAAACGCAGGCCCAGAGAGGTTAAACAGCTATTCAAGGGCACACAGCCAGTAGAGGAAGAGCCAGGAATTGCCCTTGGGCTCTGGGTGGAAAGCTGTATGAATGAATAAGCGATGCCTCCAGGGCTCTACTCCCTTGGCTGGGTGTGGGGTCTGGAGAAACCCCTGTCCCCTTTATGTATCTGCATTTTGCCCTGGATTTGGTCTGTGACAGGTATCACAGTGCCCCACTCTGGAGGGTGCCCCTGCAGGGTCCCCCAGAAAGCCTGGAGCTTTGTTGGGTATGTTTGGTGGTGAGAGGGCAAGTCTGCTGGCCTGCGTCTCTCCTGCTCACCCAAAGAATGACAGCGGACTCAGGTCATTCCTAGATGCCCTCCGAGACGGTGCCATGAGAATCTGAGCAGGCCTCTTAACCCCACTGAGCCTCAGCTTCCTCACCTCGACATGAACCATGGCACCTCCTTGGCGGGGCTGCCACACCCTTTCCTATCTGTCATCTGACTTAGGGGTTGCTTCCTTCCTTGGCTGCCCACATCAATGAGGCACCCCACTTATGCTTCTCCTTCATAACCTGCCCTCTTCATGCGATGTCTTGTTAGTGCCCCCACCCCAGCCTGAGAACACCCCGGGGAGGATTGGGTCAGTGCCTGGAACACAGGAGGTGGCCCTGAACCTTTGTTGAATGAATGAATGAGCTGTAAATATAAATTCTTGGTCTTCATCAACTTTTGGATTCATCTTTCCGATCCTTAGCGATTCCTCTAACACGGCCATCCGGATGTGGCTTCCTCCCTGCCCCGGGCATAGACCCCTGACCATGTCTGCCCACCCCTTCTACCCTTTACCCCTTCTCTTTTTGTTCCCCTCCTGCCTCTCTGGCCTTTGCTGTCCCCTTCTGTCCCTCCCACCTCAGCACCTCTCAACACTGTGAGAACAGATAAACCCCAGGCTGTGCCCCGTTGCCCTCCTGTCCGCCCCCTCAGCGTCTCATTCGAAGTATGCAAAGGCCACGGTTACTTTGGGTGACATTTGGGTGCTGTGGAGGAGACTCAAGGTGGAAATTTCCTCCTAGCCTCATGATTGCAGCTCTCCATCCCCCTGGCCTATTTTGGGTTGTCCCCAGCTCACCAACTCTGACCTCATATTGGATCCCCTGGAGTTGGGGGAGCTGGGCTGGGGAGAGGACTGGAGAAGAGCCAGCCAGTCCTCCCTGTGTTCTCTGGGCACCACACCCATTTACTCACTTAGCAGGTCTCCACAGTAACAGCTGCAGTGGCTGTCATTTTTGTGGGGCTTTTGTGTGTCCTACCCCTTACATTCATCTCCTGGCTTATCCAGCATTCAGTCCCTCACGGACTAGTTAGGAAACTCAGATGCCCACAGTGGGTGGGCGGGAAGGGGGGGGTGAACCTTCTCCCAGAAGCCCTTCCTGCCAGTTGCATTCAGGTATGTGGGTCCTCCGTGGCCAGATCTCCCACATCTGGCTCCCAAGGGAAGCTATAAATCCAGATTTAAAAAATGTAAGTTCCTGTATTTTAAATGTTGGCGGCCAATTCACTTAAAAACACTACCACCAGCTGGCCCAGTGCTTTGCTCCCACATGTCTTCACCTGCCTCTTGGGCAGGAGACAGGCCGTGATGACATCCCGCTATAAGACCCCCGACTAACCACCTCTCTCATCTTCCGCAGAGTCCTCCCCTGGCGGCCACGGGACCCAAGTCAATGTCACCTGCATCGTGAACGTTTGCAGCAGCTCTGACCACAGCTCGCAGTGCTCCTCCCAGGCCAGCTCCACGACAGGGAACGCGGAGTCCAGCCCCTCTGGCTCCGAGAAGGACGAGCAGGTCCCCTTCTCCAAGGAGGAACGCCCTTTTTGGTCCCAGCCTGGGGCCCCGGAGACTCTGCTGCAGAGCGTGGAGGAGAAGCCCCTGAACCTGGGCGTGCCCGATGCCGGGATGAAGCCTAGTTAACCCGGCTGGCGTGGGCTGTCGCAGCCGCGCTGGGCTCACCTCTGGGCCTCCTCGGCCCCCACGCCGCAGCACTTTGGCTCTCTCTCGGCCCAATTCCTTTAGTGGCCTCCACAGCCTGGGCCGTCCTCTCACCTGCAGGCAGAGGGCGGGGCAGGGAGAGTCGGGAGAACCCCTCCTCTCACGGTGGGTGTCCTCGGAAGGCTGGCTGCACGTGCTGGGCAGCCCCGCGGGCCCCTGCCTCTCTGAGCTGCCCCCTCGCTGGCCCTGCGGATCTGGCTTCTGAAGCCCTTGTTTTCACCCCTGGGCCCTATGACCCTGGCTCCCTGCAAGGCCCCAGCATCCAGAGGGGCTGTGGGGGAGGAGGGGCAGCAAGTTTGAGTTCACCCAAGTGCCAAGACTGCTGGATGGTCTCAGGGGGAGGGGCTCTCATGGGTCAGATGGCCTTGTGCAGGGTGGGGATCCCCTGGGTTAGCCAAGGATCTTTGGGAAGTACCACTTCCAAATCCTTTCCTGCTAGTTCCACCTCCTGTACGTGGTGTGAAAGTCAGATACCAGGAGGGCCCAGCAGGCAGCCTGGATGAGTGCCCTGCCCTGGGCAAGATGGCAAACCTCTAACAGGAAATTCAGTTTTAATATGTGACAGTTAACAAAACGAAACAAAAAAAAATGTAAGCACCATGCAGACACACGAGCCAACAACACAGAGTTTGCCTCCTCTGCCTTTGACCTTCACTCCAGTTTTCCCAGAGAGCC